CTTTTACTAAAACCTGCTTAACCTTGTTTGCCCTTCCTTCCCATTCTCTGTCTCTCACAAAGGATCTTACGTCTTCTGTTTTTCTCTCATCTGTCTTCCACTCTCTCTCAGAGCGCTGCCCCTAAGGAGGGACTGCCAGATCCAAACAGGACCTCGGGCCAGCGCCCTCAACCTCAAGGTTGTCTGACCACTGTTCTCCATTGTAATACAAGTGCTTCCACTGTAGGGCCAACGTATGTGTAGGGAAAGTCTCACTTCCCCCATCTAAAAAGATTTCTCTGAAATGAAGCATCCAGTACTTGAAAGAAACATTTTCTAACGTTAGTAAAGATTACTAAAAATAAACCAAGAAACAATGGGCTATTAGTGAAAAGAGATAAAGAAGGTTGATTTTTTAATGTGCCTACTAAAAGCAGTTATCAAACATCATATAACATGGTAAATGAACAAAACCATTATCACATGTTTGTTTATTTACTTAAATTAGGTTTTTTTAATTCTGCATGGCATATGACAAATGCCAGTACTTATTGTCATGTTCAATATGTTTTTGCTGGTTGGTTTAGGGAGGCTGCCATTTTATGTTTTACAGGAGTTAGATTTGATCATGTGCCAACAGTGTTGAGATTTTAAGATATTCAAATAGGATTGCAGTTTAATTTATTTGAATTTTAATCTAACACTTGACAATCTAACACTGAGAAAATTGATTTCACGGTTGCAGATTAGCCTATTTATAGAGAGATGTTTTTCTTATTTAGTATGCCTTCTGATATTAAATGTAGAATCTCTTCATACTTTTCAAGTTCTGGTCAGCTCAGAATGTTTAATGGCTTTTCAATCTTTCTTATTATATTAAGTTCTGTACATTGCTATGGTGCAAGTTTATGGTATATACAAACAGATAGGAAGAAAGGCCACTTTGCAAAAACTGAATGTTTAGTGAAAAACAGCCTGGTGTGTCTTTTGTTGTAAATTAACCCCTCATTGTTCTGTGTTATAATACCTGAGACAAGACAAAGGGGCTTTACACGGTACACAATACATATTTGTCTTGGCTAATACAAACCTGCTTGGGTGATTAATGAAGAGTTTCAATGTAAAGAAGCGTATTTTTCTGTCTTTGCATGTTCATTTCCAAATTTGCTTGGATCCATATAACTGATTTGATCATATTTGATCTTAAGACCATCTGGTAATAAATAATAGTTTGTTCTTCTCTGTCTTAATCTCTCCTGATTTACATGAAGAGGTTTGATGTAGCACACGTTAGAGGCTTACCCAGTTTGTTGACTTGCATCCTCTTTAGATAAAGCAGCCAAGTGATTACAAATATTAATTATATTATATTATATAAATATAATTAATATATCATCAAAAATGAACAAGTAATCCAAGGTTTGCATCCAAGCAAATACATATTTTATCACCCTTTACTAATTATGTTTGTGCAAATTGTATTTTCTTTGGTTTTTATGCGATGTGAGTCCCAAGCAACCATTGGGGAAAACATAAGACTCATAGCCATTTGCTGCTGCTTCCTTTACAGTAATGACTAAATGACAATGTGTGGGATGCATTTTCATCAAGTGTTTCTTGTGGTCATATCATGTGATCATGGTTATAATTTCATTTAAAATCCCAAAATTAAAGTTTTATGTTAATTAAGTTAGCATACCTTTATACACTTTCCATGCTGTCTACAAAGACAACTCTATTTTATGTTTGAGGATATCACTTAGATACCCATCTATAATTCTGACCAGGAAAATGAATCAGTCATTGGAAACTCGTCCCTGTCCAGTCACTTCCTACTCAGCATGTACTGTCATGTGTTTCTTTTCTGCTGCGTGATAGGTTGCTTTGCTGCCTGGTCCACAATTGATGCCATTGTTGTTTCTCCTGTTTGTATCATCTCTTCCTTTGTTCTTTACATTTTTCCATTCACATCTCTGACATTTTCCTTTCCTCCCTTCATGTCGTTTTCACCACACTACTGGTCACATGATTTTTGCATAAAAGCAACCAATACTTGGCATGAAGGACTTGTCACCTTCTCTTAGCCGTTGATCTGCCGCCACCTGCTGGTTGTTAATGCAGTCCAAATATTCACAGCCTGCTTTGCTCCAGTTTGTTCTTGACAGATGAGTTGGTTAGAGTTCTTTGAATGTGAAAAGTTGTTATGTGAATGAGCATGTCAAGACTCAAGCTCATTCCCTGGCCTATATCATGTTCTGCTTTGGTCTTTTGGTGAGGGTTAGTTAGTGCCTTGATTTCAAACTGCTGCACAAAAAGAAAACTGGCGCTAGATGAAAAAAATATGCCTATGTATTTATTTCCTTTACTTTATTTTGGCTTTTTAGCTCGTCTTGCCTGCATGTGTTGTATAATCATTCAAGTTTAATCTGATACATTTATATTTTAATCCTTTAGGTGCACCAGTGAAAGCACAGAGTGTGGATACAGCATCAGAGTCGGCAAAGAGAGCGTCTGAACCGGTACCAAAGCCCAGCCAGGCCCAGAAACCTAGCCCAGGGCCAGTTCAGAAAGCAGCTCAGGCTCAGAAGGCCCCGGTCCAGAGGGCCGCCTCGGTCACAAGGCCTCCAGTGCCTAGGCCTCCTCCCCCAATGCTGAGAGCCACTTCTGTCGCAAAGTCAGCCCCAGATTCTTCCTCTACCCCAGCCAAAGCTTCACCACCATCCCCAGCTAGAGCAGCCGCTCCACGCTCTCCTCCAACCAAAGTAGCAGCACCAGTCCGAGCCCCAGCCCCAGTCCCAGCCCCAGTCCCAGCACCAGCTCCAGCACCTGCCACTGCCCCAGCCCCTGCCCCAGCCCCAGCCCCTGCCCCAGCCCCTGCCCCAGCCCCTGCCCCAGCCCCTGCCCCAGCCTCTCCCTCAGCCTCAGCTCCTACCACAGAGCAGCCCAAGCCCCAGCCTCAGGGCTCCCCATCCCCAGCTCCTGGCAAACCAAAAGAGCTGCCACCCAAACCCACACCACCTGCAAAGCCAATCCCTCCAATTCGCAGGAATTCAAAGCCGCAGATCCAGCCAAAGCCACAAACCCCGCCCCCTGTCAAAGCTTTACCTAAACCCCAGCCCGCTGCCCCAGCAGATGCCTCCGCAGCCCCTGCCCCAGCACAGGTTCAGTCCCCTCCTCAGGCAGAGTCTCCGGCTAAGGCTCAGCCACAGGCCTCTCCTTCCCAAAACCCAGAGCCTGTCCCAGCTGAAGATGCAGAGGCCCCTGCTGAGGGTGAGGCCGCTGTGGACGAACAACCAGGATCCCAGCCAAAAACCCACCCTCTTCTGAAGTAAGAGCCGTCTTGTCAGCACAATGGGCCATACTTTGTGATTTAAATACAAAATTGATTTAAATATCTAAATCCTTTCTTTGATAATTTATCAAAATATTTGTTGTTTTCAAAGTGTCTTTTAAGTGTTCCAGTCCAACTGGTAACCTACTGAAACTATGAAATACACACTTTGTTTTAGCCCTCACTATTTAGCATATATAAGCAGTATATAAAGATATGATATGTGGTTTACTATAAAATCCTTTTAAGCAGATGTAAGGTCCATTTTCTTTTTGTTGATGTACAGTATGAGTCAGCGACTTTAAGTCCTCTCTAGGAATTGCTTGGTAGTATTAACGACAATAGTAAAACACATTTCATAGGAAGTTATTATTCTAATGACTTGAAAATGTCCTTATATCTGCTTATATCTAAATTATGTGTTATAAACAATATATTAAATGTTCATATATTGCTTATAATCAATGGGGGGAGGGGGGTAAAGTACAATGTCAACATTTAAGAATGTTTTCAAAGATCATTGTACAATATAGTGTTTTTGACTACCCTCCTTACTTTTCCCTCTAACTTACTTTATTTACTGCGTCCCGTCCTTCCTGCTCTCCCTCCTCGCCCATTTGCTCTCCTCCCCTCCCTTTTCCCTCCCTCCTCCCTTCCCAGTAAGTCCCAGTCCCTGACCAATGCCTTCAACGCCTTCAGCGACTCCTCTTTCTTCCGCGGGGCCCCGAGCACCGGAGGTGACGGCCAAGACGAGGAAAAGGCTGAGACCATTCGCAATCTCCGAAAGTCCTTCGCCAGCCTTTTCTCTGACTAGACACAGCCAAACTGTAGTCAGCCCCTTTTGGATCCTGCCCCCCCCCCCTTTTACTGTTGGCCAGTGATGACTTGATTGATATTAAATGTGAACAAGTCTGAGATTAAACTTTGTGTGTTAACTGTACTGTATCCCCTCTGTCCTGGTACCCTCCTCTTCCCCACTTTCAAATACTCTGTGTGAGTGACAGTGAGGCCTGCTGGGTAGGATATTCAGAGAATAATGCTTTGCCAGAATTATTGGACTGAAGGAGTTACGTCATTGATATAGACAAGTATAGAATTACAACATATTTATTTTTCCCAGAGCAAACTTTAAGGAACTGTTTCTGAAGTACATAAAAAGATAATTAGAGACTACAGATGAAATGTACATACAGTATATATATAAATATAAAGTAAATAAATACAAATATATATCACTTTAAAAGGGAGATAAGCCACTTATAGGAAATACATAGTGAAATATTTTCACTTAGCTTTTGTCAGTGACATAACTCTTTCATTAAGTGGCCGGGTTCATACACATTATGAAAAATCTGATTTTTGACGTTTTATGGTTTCCCCCACAGTGAATACGTTTTGGTCAGTAAGTGAAAGTATGTGAGTAAAAAAGAAAAAAACGACTGGGGATTTTGTGATTGGTAAATCAAGCTGTTGTGTCTCTTGGCAAAATGACTAATGGGCTCGTCATTGCTGCCCCATTTTTGTCTAAATGCCTTGAAGTTCAATGTCATGTTAGGGAGTCCGACATATGTGTATGTTCATCCGTGTTCAATTGTTATGCATGGCTCCTCCAATGGCTCAGTGTGACTTTTGGAGAAGAAGGTGAACTCTATCATTGTTGAGCCCTACGTTGCCTCTCTCTCTCTCTCTCTCTTTCTCTCTAGATGTTGTAGCTTTATTGTGAACATGTTTTCAATTCAGCTACGTTTGTTAGCTGTGCAGACCTGGGTCGATTACAAATTGAGATTCATTCCTTCACTTCAAGTGTTTGATAAGTTAAGTATTGCAGGCAGGATTTATTGCCAATGGTTCGAGCATATTGGTGACTGAACAATCAATCCTGATAAGTAACTGAATGCATTTCAAAGAGTAGAAAGACACATCTGTAGCTGTGACTGGTGATTTCTTGTTTCACCTCTGTGTAGATCTATCAACAGTATTGTAATTTGTTGATTATTCTCATGAAGACATTGAGACAGTAGTGCAATAACATCTCAACTTAACTGTTGAGTGCTGTCACCCTATTATAAATATAAATACATACAGGATATGTGTATCTGTTACCTTACTCTTACATTCCCTTTAAGATTCCTTTCAATCACAACTTTCCAGGTTGCTTTTTACCGCAGATATTACACTGGTTTTCAGATGAATATGCCATGTTTAACTGTTGGTTTCTGTGATTAATCCTTTTTGTGTTGTGGGACTGAATTTAAGGCAACCTGGAATGAACCCAGTACGATGACTGGTCATTTTCAGCTCAGTTGCTGCATTTCAAGATCATATGTACAAAAAAAGAAAAAAAATCTCAAAACTTAAGAACCGCTAATCAACCTGTCTGATGATCCATTTCCAGTACTACGTTGCAAGTCATTTAAAACATATTGTATTTGTATGTAAGTGTCATCTCAGGAGTTTATTTTTTGTAATATATTGATTGATTGATTTATATTTTTGAGGCTCCATATTTATGGTTAAGTATATATTGTTTGTTTTGTATTGTGTTTTTATTCGTAACACAATACTGCTTTGCATGATCTGGTGACTGATGATGTTTTTTTCTGTACAGATAAAAGTTAATAAAGATGTGGTTCCATCATTCCACTGATTCATTAAATACAATTAATGCTTTTTCTTTTACAATGTTTTATTCTAAGGACCACATAGTAAAGATCGGATTCATTTGTAAGGTTTTTAATTAAGGTTAACTGATTAGAATGAAAGTTAACAGAAAACAAAAGTTTGCAGTTTGTGATTTCACTTCATCAATGTGATTTATATAAATATGCCAGTATTCAACCAACTGCAACATTTATTCTTACATATACGAACAGTATATCTTAAAATATGTCACTGAATCAGCAAAGTTTTTCTGACACTAAGTCTTCCTTGTATTATCTCCACTCAAGTGTTTGTAAGGCATATTCTGTTTGTTTTTTTCTTCATTGAGCTTTATCTCATGTACACCGTCAGGTCTAATTGCATCACATGATGTTGAGCTCGTATGTATGCCATGAGGTTATCACATATTTTATTTGACAATAGCAAAGGTATGTTGTAATGCTAAATGGGGAACTTCCCTTTTTAGTTGCCGCCCTCCAGAGCTTTCACAGTGTAAGATCAACGACGGCTCTATTTGTTCTTTGAGTCTGCTTAATATTTCATTGATGTATTTAGAAGGGAAAGCATAGAAATCAAACTTTATTTTCTATGGTTTGATTGATATGTTGTCACAATTCACCCCAATAGTTGATTTCTAATAGTTACATTTTGGGTTCTACATCTTGATCAAAGCAGAAGTCCTTAGATGTCAACAGGCCAACTTCAAGGAGTTGCTAACATAGGTCAAACATTCAGAATTACAGTTACATTTCATTGGTTGTGTGCTACTCAATGGAGAGATGGATTAAACTACTCATCCTGGCCAGCAGGTGTCACTACGTACATATAGAAATACTCTGTGGGACCCTTCAATTGGGCTGACTGGGCACATTGGCTCAATGTTTCCAGTCGTTGCAAAAGATGCCACCTTAGGTACCTCAGAGAGTCTCTCTCACTGACTTTACTGCCATCAACCTCTTATCTCTTTTTGCCATTAAAATATGTTTTATTTTTATTCAAATCATTTAAAATATCTGGATTTACAGTATGTTCTTGTTATTTAATTGCCTAGCCTTTAATTTGCCTTGCATATGCAGGTTAAAAACAACCACTGATGTCAATATGGGCACTATTATATGGTTACTATAACTATTATATAGTGATAATAGGAAAGGTTATACGGTGGCAAATGTAATGATATAAATAATCATTGTCAAAAGACCTCATGAAAGACGACACACGAAGTGAGGATACCCGGCCCGGAGGAAGCCCCCTTCTGGAGCCAGGCCCAGAAGGAGGACTCGTCGGCGAGCGTCTGGTGGCCGGGCTTGCCACGGAGCCCGGCCGGGCACAGCTCGAAAAGGCAACGTGGGCAACAGCTCCGCTTCTCCGTCCCGCGGGCCCACCACCTACGGGAAACAGCGATGGGGTCGGGTGCGCTGCCAGAAGGGTGGCAGTGAAAGCAGAGGGTCTCGACGGACCAGACCCGGGCGACAGAAGCTGGCTTTGGGGACGTGGAACTTCACCTCTCTGGGGGGGAAGGAGCCGGAGCTTGTGCGGGAGGTGGAGCGTTACCAGTTGGATCTGGTTGGGCTCACCTCTACGCACAGCGTCGGCTCTGGAACCTTACTTCTGGATAAGGGTTGGACTCTATTCTTCTCCGGAGTTACCCAAGGTGTGAGGCGCCGGGCGGGTATGGGGATACTCACAAGCCCCCGGTTGGGTGCTTCTTTGTTGGAATTTACCCCAGTGGACGAGAGGGTCGCCTCCCTACACCTGCGGGTTATGGGGGGGGGAACTCTGACTGTTGTGTGTGCTTATGCACCAAACAGGCCCCCCTGATCTGAACCGGAGTGGTGGTTTGTTACTGGACTTCTGTGCTAGTCATGGATTGGCCATAACAAACACCATGTTCGAACATAAGGATGCTCATAAGTGTACGTGGTAGAGCACCCTAGGCTAAAAGTAACAAACTTTTACTGATATGTGCTGGGTCCAGGCTCAAGGGCATATGGCACTCTCAACTCTTTCCAGCACATGCCGGGGCCCTGCCTGCCAGTAGCTTTGCCGATATCTGTGTTGATAGGTAATAGATTAAGAGCGGTAAATCAGCTTAGAAACAGGAAGTGCTCAAACATTTGTGTGAGGTTATCAAATTTAGCAGTGATTCCATGTCAGCCACAGCTTGTCACAACATTTTTTACTGATAGTGTATTTAACAAACTTAAACTAGCTTTATTAAATGTCAGGTCTTTGGCAGGAAAAACATTTTTAATCAATGATTTTATCACTGAGCACAATCTCGATTTTATGTTTTTAACGGAAACTTGGATTGAACAAAATAACAGTGCAGCTGTTCTTATCGAATCAACCCCTCCCAACTTTAGTTTTATGAGTCAGGAAAGAATGCATAAGAAAGGGGGTGGAGTTGCTATTTTGTTCAATGATTCCATTCAATGCAGGAAGACATCTTATGGGGACTTTGCTTCTTTTGAATATGTGGCCCTTCAGCTGAAATGCTCCTCTCGAGCTCTGTTCCTAAATATCTATAGACCACCCAAATACTGTGCAAGCTTTTTTGATGATTTTACTGAACTGCTGTCTATAGTGTGTATTGACTTTGACCGTCTAGTCATTGTTGGTGATTTTAACATCCATGTTGACAACCCCCAGGACAGAGGGGCTAAAGAACTGTTTTGTGTTCTTGATAACTATGGACTGACTCAGCATGTGGCGGAGCCCACGCACAATAAGGGGCACACTCTGGACTTAATTATCTCAAAGGGTCTGAATATCTCAAAGGTTGTGGTGACTGATGTTGCACTCTCTGATCATTCCTGTGTTTTCTTTGAGAGCTCTATTTCTGTTCACAAAAATGTTCAGAAAGAGGTAACCACAAAGCGATATTTAACAGAAAATACTAGGGAAATGTTTACTCATAATTTTTCATCCACACTTGCCCCTGCTAACATCTCAGTAAATGAGCTAGTAGATCATTTTAATTCAAAAATTAAAAATGTTATAGATACCATTGCTCCAACTAAGGTAAAGGAAGTGATTGGCAAGAAAATATCTCCATGGAGAAAGGCCATGACCGTGAGAACAGAAAAAAGAGAGTGTCGAAAAGCTGAACGTAGGTGGCGAAAAACAAATCTCCAGGTTCACTTTGAAATCTATAAAGAGAGACTTGGCCTTTATAATTTGGAATTGAAAAACGCACGACAGTCTTTCTTCTCTGACATCATTACCAAAAACAAAAACAACGCACGTGCCTTGTTTGCTACCGTCGACAGACTAACTAACCCCCCAGTGTCAGTAGCCTCTGAATTTCTATCCACCAGGGCGTGCAATGATTTTGCCTCCTTCTTCACTGACAAAATTCAGAAAATTAGACAAGCAGTCAGTGCCTCTGCATCAGGTACAGCAAATGTTTTGTCCCTATGTCCACCTAATATCAATTCAAACACCATGACACAATTCCATTCAGATTAATGGTAAAAACTTAGAGGACATTATTCAACTTCTGAAATCCTCCTCCTGCTGCCTTGATATTATTCCAACAGGATTTTTCAAAGATGTTTTTCCTTGCATGGCCTCAGATCTACTTCATATAGTAAACACATCTCTTCACTCAGGTATATTTCCAGAGGCCCTGAAAACTGCAGTCATTAAACCGCTCTTAAAAAAGAATAATCTAGATGCCTCAGTAATGAACAATTACAGGCCAATATCAAACCTGCCATTTCTAGGTAAAATCATTGAAAAAGTTGTATTTCAACAGTTGAGTAACTTCTTGCATTTAAATAACTGTTTGGATGTGTTCCAGTCAGGATTTCGTCCAAACCACAGCACTGAGACTGCTCTTGTAAAGGTCTTCAATGACATCCACTTAAACACAGACAGTGGCAGAACTTCAGTGTTAGTATTATTAGATCTCAGTGCTGCGTTTGATACTGTTGACCACAACATATTACTAGACCGACTAGAAAACTGGGTGGGACTTTCGGCAACAATTCTAAATTGGTTTGAGTCCTACTTAAAGGACAGAAAAAACTTTGTTTCTATAGGTAAATACACATCTGAGTTGACAAATATGACATGTGGGGTACCTCAAGGCTCCATCTTGGGGCCTCTTCTCTTTAACATCTACATGCTACCACTGGCTCAGATAATGAAAAACAACAAAATAAGTTACCATAGCTATGCGGATGACACACAAATTTACGTAACAATTTCACCAGGAGATTATGCTCCAATTCAAACACTGAGTAAGTGCATTGAACAAATCAATGACTGGATGTGTCAGAACTTTCTCCAATTAAACAAAGATAAAACTGAGGTAATGGTTTTTGGAGCCAAGGCAGAACGTATAAAAGTTAGCGCTGAGCTTCA